CAGACACCCTGTGAGGTAGGTGGGGCTGAGAGAGCTCTGACAGAAACTGCTCTTTTTCAAGGACAGCTCTTATCAGAACTACGGCTTGCCCAAGGTCATCCAGCAGCTGCAAGTGGAGGAGTGGGGAATCAAACCCGGTTCTCCCAGATTAGAGTCCACGCACTTAACCACTACACCAAACTGGCTCTTATGCTAGGATGTGACACTTTTTGTTAAAAGAAGCATGGTTTACCCATTTACTGAAACATTTTCCCCATTGTGTCATGGATTTACCATTTTGGCTCCTCTTGGTGTTTCTGCAGGGCGTTTGCTGGGGCAACGGTTCACGACTTCTTTAACTGGCTCTCCGTGTTTGTGCTGCTGCCCCTTGAGATCGCCTCAGGTTACCTGTATCGTCTTACCAATGTCATTGTCGAGTCCTTTCATCTCGAAAGCGGAGAGAGTGCCCCTGAGCTGCTGAAGGTCATCACCGATCCTTTTACGAAGCTTATTGTCCAGGTAGGTGCTTCCCCCCCCAGCAAGTTGTTAGCTGCCGAACTGTCTTTGGGTTATCAGATCTGCCTAGGACTGCTAAGCCCCCCATGAGAGTGGAGGACCCAGGGGTCATTTCCTGCAGGAGCGCACAGGAGTGGAACTCCAGCAGTAAAGAGCCCAGGGGGTGGGCACATGCAATAAGCCCCGCCCCCTGCTCCCAGCAGCCCCAGGCCACAAGGAGCAAGAAGCAGCCAGGTAGGTTGCAGAGCCTCCCCCCCCAGTTAGCAATCCAAAACAGTCCAGTGGCACCTTTAAGGCCAAGTTTTATTCAGGTACAAGCTCTCCCTCCACTGTGAGGGCCGATCTGCATGTCCCCCCCTAGCTAGCAATCCAAAACAGTCCAGTGGAGCCTGAGCGGTGGTTGTTGCCTTCTGAAAAGGGAAGGGAGATGTCAGGAGGTGTGGGATATGCAAATAAGTTATGCTAATGAGTTATGCTAATGCGCTCCTGCACCTCTTTTTCTACGAAATGACCCCTGGGAGGACCCATGGCCCCCAAGGCCCATTGTCTGCTGCCGTTTCGAGCAGTGGCAAGAGAATGTGTTGTTTTTTTAATGCAGCCTTGTGTACTTACTAGAAGTTCTTGTTGGAGGGAGCGACTCAGCGTGCCTGGACATTTGGGAGGGGGGGTTCTACATCACTCTAGGGTTGCGGTCACACACCCCAAATAGTCCACTTTCAATCCACTTTCAGTGGACTTTCGAACTTGATTTTACTGTGTGAGTTGACCATATCCAGTTGGAAATTGCATTGAAAGTGGATTGAAAGTGGACTATTTGGGGTGTGTGACCGCAACCCTAGAGTGATGTAGAACCCCCCCTCCCAAATGTCCAGGCACGCTGAGTCGCTCCCTCCAACAAGAACTTCTAGTAAGTACACAAGGCTGCATTAAAAAAACAACACATTCTCTTGCCACTGCTCGAAACGGCCCGTAGCAGGAATCACTGCTTGCGACTTCAGGTAGTCTAGGATTGGTGCCCAAGTATGAAACAGTCGTGATTTATAGGTGGTATGTGTTTCTCGTAGGATTTTATCAGTCAATTTAGCAATTATAAAGCAGTCCCATATTCTATTTTGCCAAGCTGAGATAGAGGGATCCCTACTATCCTTCCACTTAGCCGTGATTTCCATCTTTGCTAAGGCAAGTAGAGTCAGGACTATCTGTTTGTTTGAAGATTGTAAAATAGATTCAAGTGTTTTATGAAGTAATAATGCTTCAGGTGTTTCCGGTAGATTGAGACCTGTTATATCTTGGATGGCAGCACTAATGAATACCCCAAAACGCCTGACTCTAGGGCACAGCCTAAGTGTGTATAGCTGTTATCTCCTTGAATGGGAGCTGCCCTCTAACCCCCACTCTCTCCTTTTGTCCTCTCACTCTCTCTACATGGCCTTCCATGGAGAGACACGTCTCTGCAGGCCTCTGCAGTAGAGACAATGCCCTCATACTCCCACACACGTGATGCCGGACAAGCTGGCCATTTGTGATAGGGGAAAGGACTCTTTAGGTGAGGCTTCCCTCCTTTCAACTGCAACCTGAATGTGAACTGGATCTACTTGAATCATTGTAAGTTTACCTTTTTTTTTTTTGCAATATACTCCTTGGGTGATTTATTTACTACACCCAGTCTCATGCTTCTATGACTAGGCAAACTCTGGTATAGTAACCAAATATCCCAATCGTTCTTACCGGAAGGGACAAAGGATAGCTGTAGGAATCACCAGAAATTCTTCGGTTTTGCCATAAAGTTTCCAGAAATTCCTAGAGCTACCCTTTGTTACTTTCTGTACGTACAAGAGGATGCATTGTTTTATTTAAAAATTATTCCAATAGTTCTTACCGGAAGGGACAAAGGATAGCTGTAGGAATCACCAGAAATTCTTCGGTTTTTCCATAAAGTTTCCAGAAATTCCTAGAGCTATCCTTTGTTACTTTCCGTACGTACAAGAGGATGCATTGTTTTATACAAAAATTATCCCACAATACTGCCCCCCCCAACTCTCCCACAGTTTGCAAGGCACCGGTCCAGGTCAGACGTGGCAGAAAATACGCAGTAAAACATGCGGTAATTTGACTTGCCGCTGCGCAATCACATGCAATGGCAGGTGAAGCGGCTGATTTACCTTGCAGCCTGCTTCCTCGAGGGCTCAATGACATCATCGGAGTGCGCTGGGACGATCACCCCAAGACCTCCGTCCTCAGCCGTCGCAGCATCTGCTTAATAGTGCAGTTTCGGTAATTGTTTTTAACTGCGCTTCTTTGGCTGCCTCCTATGGGTCTCCGATGTGTGCGGGATGCTGGCCAGATGTGCTGGTGTGAACGCACCCACAAAATCCGCCTGCCACTCATCGGACTCCCGAGGTAAATACTGCGTGTGATCGCAGCCACTATTTGGCAATCCTAGATCTGCCTTTCTGACCGAGTCAAATGGGTAAGGTTGAGTCAAATGGGTAAGGCTATAACATTTTGTGTGAGTGAGAGGGCCAAACTACACAATTGCCCCATCTGCATTTGCTATGCAAAGCTGTTCTGTGCTGCTGTGGCGCCGGCTTCCCATTTGGCTCAGTAGAAAGCTCTCCTCTGTCTGCATCAGGACGCAAGTTGTTTAGGGAGACCGCGCAAGAGAGAGGGGGAGGAGTGGACTCCCAGGGGTGCCAGCAGGGTGCTGCGCTGCGGGAAGGAAATGGCACCTGCAACCCCCCCCTCCAGAAAGTAAAAGGGGGTGACCTGGCAGAGGGGGAGATGGGGGGGGCAGGAAAGACGGAATGAGCTGGATAAAAACACAAAACACCCAGCAGTTGCCAGGCAGGGCATTCTGGAGTTCTGCCCCAGGAAATAACAACTGGTTCAGGAGTGGGCATGCTTCCACCCCCCCCCCCAAAAAATATGAGTGCAGAAAATTGTTCCCTGGCTGCTTTTAAACACAGACGACTGGATTTTCAGCAAGCTTGTTTCCTTTGTGACAATTTGCATATCTCCTTAGAAAAGTTGGGGGGGGAGAGCTCCAGTTGTCTGCATTTTGCTCACAGCGGCTCGACAGTGGGTAGGAGCAGCTGAATCACCTTAAAACCACATTCAGATAAGGCGGTGAGACATTGTAGTGACCTTGGATGTTCCCTCTAAGCTGTGGAGTCTTGTGAGCAAAAATTCTACTTGGTGAGCTCCTGGCATTAAAGTTGTGAGCGAGCAATTTGGCTACTGCATCAATTAGTTTGCTCTGGAGCCCTCCTTCCTGAGCTAAGACAAAAAGGTGTGAGCCGGAGGCTAAAAAACTGTGAGCTAGCTCAGCTTAGAGGGAACACTAAATGGCAACAAAATGATGCACTAACAATTGATTGGCACAGTAATGAGATAATACGGAGAACAAGAAAAAACGTGAAAAAGTGACGCTAAATATATGTCTTTGAAGAATCAGAAAAGTGAACAAAAATAATATACATAATCATAGAAAAATATATTGACAGTGATCTCCGGAATGTCTTGCCGTTTCGAAGGAAGATCTTCTTTAAAAATGTCTCTCAGAGATTCATATCCTCTGGTGACGTCTCACATTACAATCATCTTAGCCCATGGCAGGTTCTACTACACATTACAGCTGTTATGAATATTGAAAATCTTCCTTGATAATTGTGAGACGTCACCAGAAGATATTTTTGTTCACTTTTCTATGATTCTTCAAAGAAAAGACACATATTTAGCGTCACTTTTTCACAGTTTTTCTTGTTCTCCGTAACAAAATGATGCAGACAGCCAATGCTGAGATGAAACAATAGAAGAGTGGATGTGGCATGAAATGCAGACAGAACTTTGTGAGACGATGTGAGATCATTGGCACAATGGTGGGAAATACTGATGCAGATTGGACCTATATGGGTGGTTTTTTTTTAGTAAGCTGGGTCTGGGAAACCCAACAATAAACCTAGGAAATAGCAGCTGTGGGGAATGCCACTTTTAAAGCCTGAATTGACTCAGCACAACAGCATGAGGTGTGTGGGGGGGACTTCTGTTTCCATCCCACACCTTTTTTTTTCCTGAGTGGAAACATCCCCTGTGGGGCAGTCTGCATAACTGCGGAGCTGAACATGCTGGGGGGGGGAGAGAGAGGAAGAGAGAAACAGGATCACCTGGAGAAAATGGAACATAAACAGTCTGTAGCTCTGTTCCGGTACTGGTTATCTCACATGTTTAGCAGACTCAACCTCAATTACAAGGCAATTAATTGCATAGTACCATCAGGCTAATGAACTGGTTTTAATCCAAACCACTGAGCCATTCCATTCCATTCCATTCCATTCCATTCCATTCCATTCCATTCCATTCCACTCAACTGCAAACTGTTCCACTCCACACTGTCACTCAGCTTCTAGGGGACCACTTGTAATTTCTGTCCTGGGGATGCGAAGAATCCTGATTAAATCCTGATTAAAAAGAGTCCTATATGGCGGTGCAGTACAGGAAAAGGTCTCATGTGTGCTGCGGTGTGCTGCGGTGGCTCAAGTGGTTAAGATGCTGAACTGCACGCTGTGGAAGGTCAGTAGTTCAGCAGTTTGAGACCCGGGTGCCGCATGACCGAGTGAGCTCCCATCTCTAGTTCCAGCTCCTGCCAACCTAGCAGTTCGAAAGCAAGAAATTGTAAGTAGATAAATAGGTACCACTTCGGTGGAAAGGTAACAGCATTCCGTGCACCTTGGTGTTTAGTCATGCCGGCCACATGACCACGGAAACATCTTCGGACAGCGCTGGCTCTTCGGCTTTGAATCAGAGATGAGCACCGCAACCCTAGAGTCGGATTCGACTGGCTTTCGAGTAAGGGAACCTTTTCCTTTGCTCTAGGGATGTGCACCACAAAAAATATTGGTATTTTTTTGATCTGGATATCAGGGATATGAAAAGTTTTTGCATTCCCAGTTATTTGGGTCCCAAATACTGGTTTTATATTCAGATCTTGGTCTTTTTCAGGATTC